CTACGTGACTTCCCACACGCTTGCTAAACAAATGAGAACAATTCGGTGGGGTCATAAGTTCATGGCTGGTCCTTGCTGCCCTAGTACAGCCCATAAGTTACTTTCAGATTTGCTGTACCAATACAGAACAATTGTACTGGCATCAGCCATTTGGCATCACGAGGTCTGCTTATAGTCCATTGTGAAACTTATTATGGGAACTCGTGGTTGTTTAACTAGACACAGATGTATTGCTTCTCCTATTGTAATATCACTATATATCTGGCCTTAATGCTTTGAATAAACTTAGCACTGTTGGACATCCTCCTCAGTGCTCCTCCTGCCCCCATCTCTCTGCTTCTCGAGTTCTTTTCTTCATCCTCTTACCCTCACATTCCTGGTCGATTTGTCGCACCGGCCGCGACATTCTACTGTATTCTTGAATTTGTTAGCTTACTAAATCAATCAGTTTACTAATATTTTGTTGAGAATTTTTACATCTATCTTCATCAGGAATATTGGTCTATGGTTTTCTTTTCTTGTGGTATTCTTATCTGGTTTTGTTATCTGGCCTCATGGAATGAGTGTGGAAGTGCTTCCTCCACCTCAATATTTTGGAAAAGTTTGAGGAGTATTGGTGTTAATTATTCTTAAATATTTGGTAGGATTCTCCAAGGAAGCCATCTGGTCCTTAAGTTTCCTATTGCAACTTTCATGACTACTAATTCAATCTCTTTATGCCTTATTTCTCTGTTCAGATTTTCTTTTTCTGCCTGATTCAGTCTGGGTAAATTGTGTGTTCCTAAAAATGTATCCATTTCTTTTAGGTTATGTAATTTGTTGGCAATTAACTGTTCATAGTAGTCTCATGATTTTATGTCTTTCTTTGGTATCAGATATATTGTTTCCAGTTTTATTTTATAGTTTGAGTCTTTTTTCTTGATCTAGCTAAAGATTTGTCCATTTTGCTTATCTTTTCTATTCTTTTTTTTCTGGTCTCTATTTCATTTGTTTCTACTCTCGTCTTTAATATTTCCTTACTCCTGGTAACTTTGGGCTTTACATTTTCTTATTTTCTAGTTCCTTGAGGTGTAAACTGAGATTGTTTATTTGGTCAAACTTATTATATGCATTTATTGCTGTAAACTTTCAGAACTGCTTTTGCTGCATCCCACAATATTTAATATTGTGTTTTTATGTTTATATGTTTCTGGATCAATTACTCCCATTTTATTTCTTCTAAACAACCACTGAGTCAAAGAAGTGTGCTGTTTAGTTTCCACATATTTCTAGATCGTCTCACTTCCCTCTTGTTGATTTCTAGTTTCATACCATTGTGATCTGAAAAGACGGTTGGTATGATTTCAGTCTTCTCAAATGTGTTAAGATTTGTTTTGTGGCCTATCATATGATCTATCCTGGAAAATATTCCATGTACACTTGAAGAATGTGCATTCTGCTGGTTTGGGATGGAATATTCTGTAAATGTCTTTTAGATCTATTTGGTCTAATTCTATTTTGTCCTGATATATAAAGTCCTGTATTACCTGATCTGATTTTCTGTCTGGGTGATCTGTGCATTATTGAAAGCAGGGTATTAAATTCACCATTACTGCACTGTATTGTCGATTTCACCCTACAGGTCTGTTAATGTTTTATATATTTAGTAATCCTATGTTGGGTACATAAATGCTTACAAATGTTATATCCTCTTGTTGGACCCCTTTATACTTATAGAATGATTTGTTAGTGAAGTCTTTGACTTAAAGTCTATTTGTTTGGTTATAACTACTTTCTGCTTTCTTTTGGTTTCCTTTTGCATGGAATATCTTCATTTCTTTATTTTTACATCTGTGTGTGTGTCCTTAAAGCTGAAGTGAATCTCTTTCAGGTGCAGTTGTTCTTGTTTTTTTAATCCATTCAGGCACTCTTTTTTTATTGTAGAATTTCATCCATTTACATTT